ACACACACACACACCCCCCCATGCAGGCGCTGCCCGGCGCAGGGGCGGCACGTGGCCGGAGCCCGGGGGCGAGGCGGGAGTTTCACGCCGGGAGCGTTGGGGCTTTCCCGCCGCGCCGCTTTCGCTACCCGTTTGCACGGGGCTCCTCTGTTGCTCGGCAGGGCTCCCCTGCCCCTGCCCGGGATTCCCCTTCCCCCTGCCGGCACTGCAGATGCAGCCCGCAGCGGGCACAAGCGGGCTTGCTCACCATACTTGTGCCCAGAATGAGCGGGCAAAGCCCCCGCCCGGCCTGGCATCGCTGGGCAAGTGGCAGGAGATGGCCTGGGCTGACGCATCTCAGCGTAACTCTCCCTAGATACTGCAGTGCTTCCAGGAACGGTGCAAAACACCCACAAAAAATAAAATAACTCTCCCCAGAACAGCGGCGTGTAAGGGGTGCAAACAGAAAGCAGGTGCTGCTTTGGGGCGTGCGGGGAAGGGGGGTGGTGATGGTTGGGAACCTCTGGACTTCATAGATGTCGTAGACATTAGGGCTGGAAGGGACCTCAGAAGATCATCGAGTCCAGCCCCCCGCCCCAGGAGCAGGGAGTCAGCTGGGGTCAAAGGATCCCGCCAAGATAAAACCGGGACCCACTGGCCTTGGGCGATGCAGCCGGGCTCTCCCGTTCCTCACTGTCAGCACTGAACCGTAGAGCAGAGGTTCTCGGACTGGTCCGGGACCGCCGCTCGTCCGCGAGCTCCGTTCAGGTGGCCCGCAGGCAGGTTGTGGGATGATCGAGAATACCTGTGCTTGTAAGGTATTAAAATAGGAGTTGTGTGCTCTGATTTGTAGACCAGAAAAAAATGTACGTGGTCCACCGAGACCCTCAGCAATTTTTTCTGCAAAAAAAAAAAAAAAAAGTTTGAGAACCACTGCTCTGGAGAGTGACATGGTAGAGAAATGCAGTTATCCTTCATCACCATGGCTGTTTCCCAGGCACTTAATTCATTCTTCTATCCCCCTAGGGGTCGAAGCTTTACTTGGCTTCTCTGTATTGTGAAGTGTCTTGGATGAGCTGGAGCTAACAGCTGTTCTTTTTTTACTCCTATTATTGCAGTGGTCTTCTGGGGTCTCCTTTGAATTCCCCGATAATGGCACCGATGAGGTTGGTTCAGGTGAACTTGACCTTAAAGAGCCATGCTACTGGCAAGAAAATGCTGATTTCAACCGGATCTTTTTGCCAACCATCTACTCCATCATCTTCCTGACGGGAATCATTGGCAATGGATTGGTTATCGTTGTCATGGGCTACCAGAAGAAACTGAGAAGCATGACCGACAAGTACAGGTTGCACCTGTCAGTGGCCGACCTCCTGTTTGTCATCACGTTGCCATTCTGGTCTGTGGATGCAGCCATAGGCTGGTACTTTGGGAAGTTCCTTTGCAAGGCCATACATGTCATTTACACAGTCAACCTGTACAGCAGTGTCCTGATTTTGGCCTTTATAAGCTTAGATCGTTACCTGGCTATAGTCCATGCTACCAATAGCCAAAGACCAAGAAAGCTGCTGGCTGAAAAAATAGTCTATATAGGTGTGTGGCTTCCAGCTCTGCTTTTGACGGTGCCTGATCTAATCTTTGCCAAAACTAGCGAAGTAGGAGAAAAGTACCTTTGTGACCGCATATACCCTCATGACAACTGGCTGATTTCTTTCAGATTTCAGCATATCTTGGTAGGACTTGTTCTGCCTGGTCTAATAATCCTGATTTGCTACTGTATTATCATTTCTAAGCTGTCACACTCAAAAGGTCACCAGAAGCGCAAAGCCTTGAAGACTACTGTCATTCTCATCCTTGCTTTCTTTGCTTGCTGGCTCCCTTACTACATTGGCATCAGCATTGACACCTTCATCTTGCTAGGGGTCTTCAGACCACGGTGCAGTTTTGAGACGATGGTAACCAAATGGATCTCGATTACAGAAGCCCTAGCATTTTTCCACTGTTGCTTGAATCCAATTCTTTATGCCTTCCTGGGTGCCAAATTCAAAACGTCGGCACAGAATGCTTTGACATCAGTCAGCAGAGGATCAAGCCTAAAAATCCTCCCAAAAGGCAAACGTGCGGGACATTCTTCTGTTTCTACAGAATCGGAGTCTTCGAGTTTCCATTCCAGCTAACGCTGTCTCCTTGCCAACATTTTACAATAAAGAACAATTTTTCAAAAGAAGTTCCACAAGATTTCTGAAAAAACAAGACTGACTATAATGTACAGATTTATATACAGCTGGAGTTTTATATTGTTTCTTTTAGCTTCTGTGAATTTAATTGACTTATTTATATAAACGCTTCCATATTGATGACAAAGTGTCTAGGCAGGACCTGTGGACAAGTGGTTAGTTCACAAAGTTTCAGTGCTTTTTCTGGTTGTATAGGTATGTGAACTAAACACTTCTAGGAGCGTAGTGAGTGACTGTTTAAAATATGTAAAAATGTTTGATTGTTTGTATGTACATATTTTTGAGTTTTTGCTGTTTAAAAATTCCTAAACTTGTGATTGATATTCCAGAATTTCTCCCTTTACTGTAAGTTGTTTGGTTTACAATAGTTTAATTCTGCTATAGACAATGGCACTTATAACCAAAGCCTTCTTTGTCATGTGCTAGATATTTTTTTTCAGTTCTCCATATTGGTTTGGTTTGCACAACTCTGTTGTGTAAGGTTGTTAATAAAAACATATGATTCAAACAAAATTTGAGTGATACTTTCATTTAAACTTTCATTCAGTTGACTTCTTTATCTTATTACTGTGCTACTTTGATTTGCAGTTACTTAATGCCAGGGTAACATGTCTTGGAAACTAACATAGTTTGCTTGATATGCCTAGAGGAAAATACTAGGTTTACATGGGTTGTTTGTCTATTGAAGAGACGGACAATCTCAGAAATAGGAACTTGTGCTGCCCGTGGCATTTAATCTGTCTGGATTTATTTGTTATATCACTTGTTATTTCCGTGAGAGGACAAGCCCACTGCAGCCAGCGTTCTCTTTGACAGGTCCACCCCTCTTCAATTCAACTATTTTTGGCTACTAGGACCCAAGTTCTCTTTATGATAACTTTATGCACCAAAAAAATGTATTAAATACATGCCAGATTTTGCCAGCCTCTTAAGGATCTGAGGAGGATTACAGAAGGTCACTTCAGTCAAGAGAACACCTAAAACATTCAGACTGAACATGGTTAAGTATTTTAAATATTTTTGTAAAGAGTGCAACAGATCAGATTATCAGTTTAGCTATCCTAGAAGGAAATGTAATGCTGCATGTAATTAAATACAGTCCACATTAAATACCCACTTCATATAACATTTACCTTGGAAAAAATGAAATGTTTATTAGTACAATTAGAATGTAATCTAATACAAACTCTCCTGAACCTTTTGGGTTTTCCTGATTTAATTCCCATCTCTAAGTGTTCATCCCCTATAAGTACCATATAGTTGCACTATAATACATAAACATGAGGTGATAGATTAAGCCCACGGTATATATCATACACCAGAGAATACATGAATCATCAGTCCAGGAAAGAATTTCAACACACGCTTAATTGTGAGTAAACTCACTGAAATGATGTGCTTTACTGGTCAGGGCCAAGTTTCCACCTTCCATTCCCCAAAATAAGGATATAGGATACTTGAACAAGGACAATCCTTCCAAGAGGGGGGCAGACATCTTATCATTCATTCATAAAGTTAAAAAAACCTCTGTCATGCTTATAAA